TTCCATCTGGAAAAGAAAGCAGAATCACTCTAGTATTCAGCTCAAGGAGCCCTTATCAAGTCGGAGATCACAAATAGACCCGACCAGAATAGACCTCACTTCTCTAGTTTCCAATAGTAATAAATTTCATGATCGTAATTGGACGTCCTCCACGTCAATAACATCCAATAAGGAATTCTTTGAATTTTAATCGAGCTCAGTGGAATCGAATGCCTTTATGTCTCTTCGGATCTCTGAGGACGGTTACGATCCACATACGCCTGTTAAGAAATTTCAATTCTTGTCCATTTTAATTAACAGGTTCTCCTGGTGCTGCAATAGGTTATTTTTAATTCTCCTCAATAACCCAAAAAGGAATCAGTATTTAGTAATTATCTGAAATCAGTAATTGTTCGTTCCTATGACAATTGAATATTATTTTTCTGACGTCATGGAATGAAGATACAGTCCAGGATCCTCATATGGGCAATCATTAATCAGAGTCTCATCCTGTCTCGAATCACTCATCGATAATCTCGAAAACATCTATCCTCTTTGCCTTGTTTGAAGAATGAATCATAAAGGATTACGATTTAAGATAAGAATTGGGCTGTCAGACGAGGCATCCCTCAACAGAAATACAGTAGTTCGGCTCTCCCTTGCCACAGCGCACGAAACGGACGTTCAGACTCCATCCGGATGTGGAACCGGCTCGAGAAGTCAACTGCTTATCAAACGAAGGTCGCTTTTATAAAGGAAATTCCCGGATCTTCTAAGAATGAAGGTCTACGAGATCGCCGATGTGCCTCGAAAGAGCCACCGAGAAGCCCCGTTCCGATGGGTGTTTTGTGTCGCAGAGGGCGTTGAGCAAGCAACCACAAGGTTTCGTCTGCTTCCTTCCAGATTTGTGTCGTGATTCGTGCGGAGTGTCGATCCCGAGTCTCCCGGTGGGGCCTTCTTCCATTCCCGCGCAACGCTCACCGTTCTCCGTTCTGTGTGGTGAGCCTGTCCGTTCTTGGTCGAGGAGGAGTCCAATTTCCGGGAACTTGTGTTTTGAATAAATTTATCAAGTCGGAGATCACAAATAGACCCGACCAGAATAGACCTCACTTCTCTAGTTTCCAATAGTAATAAATTTCATGATCGTAATTGGACGTCCTCCACGTCAATAACATCCAATAAGGAATTCTCTGAATTTTAATCGAGCTCAGTGGAATCGAATGCCTTTATGTCTCTTCGGATCTCTGAGGACGGTTACGATCCACATACGCCTGTTAAGAAATTCCAATTCTTGTCCATTTTAATTAACAGGTTCTCCTGGTGCTGCAATAGGTTATTTTTAATTCCCCTCAATAACCCAAAAAGGAATCAGTATTTAGTAATTATCTGAAATCAGTAATTGTTCGTTCCTATGACAATTGAATATTATTTTTCTGACGTCATAGAATGAAGATACAGTCCAGGATCCTCATATGGGCAATCATTAATCAGAGTCTCATCCTGTCTCGAATCACTCATCGATAATCTCGAAAACATATATCCTCTTTGCCTTGTTTGAAGAATGAATCATGAAGGATTACGATTTAAGATAAGAATTGGGCTGTCAGACGAGGCATCCTTCAACAGAAATACAGTAGTTCCGGCTCTCCCTTGCCACAGCGCACGAAACGGACGTTCAGACTCCATCCGGATGTGGAACCGGCTCGAGAAGTCAACTGCTTATCAAACGAAGGTCGCTTTTATAAAGGAAATTCCCAGATCTTCTAAGAATGAAGGTCTACGAGGTCGCCGATGTGCCTCGAAAGAGCCACCGAGAAGCCCCGTTCTGATGGGTGTTTTGTGTCGCAGAGGGCGTTGAGCAAGCAACCACAAGGTTTCGTCTGCTTCCTTCCAGATTTGTGTCGTGATTCGTGCGGAGTGTCGATGCCGAGTCTCCCGGTGGGGCCTTCTTCCATTCCCGCGCAACGCTCACCGTTCTCCGTTCTGTGTGGTGAGCCTGTCCGTTCTTGGTCGAGGAGGAGTCCAATTTCCGGGAACTTGTGTTTTGAATAAAATGGTGTGATTCGTAAAAGTTCTGGGTCTTGGAAACCACTTGTGAAACGTAGCGGTCACTGGAGCATCATGCACATCTATTAGGCATGCGGTTTTTTTTCGCTCCTCTAAAAATCTCACCTTTTCCTACAGTGACGTCAATGATCGAAATCCGCGTGGGAGGGGATAGAATTCCAGGCCCGGCCCATTTTGCCCTTTTATCCTTGCCTAGCCTTCGCAGCAGAGGAAATTGAGGGTCTGAAAGAAGCATCGATTCATCCCCACGTGTAGAAGTCTAAAATGTTGAAGGGGGTTGCAGTCTTTCTCTTTCAAGATTTCCCATTCTGATTCTACCTCTGACTTCACCGGCAATGGAAAGACGAAATGTCATTTGGTTTAGACCAACTTTCACTGCCGCTGGGGACAGAGTTGAGTTCTGTCTTTCACTTGATCTTAACCTGCACGCGCGGGATCACTTACTTAAAACGAAGAGGAAAACAATATCTTTTTATTACATATCGGTACGCATTGAGCATCTTGGACAAGTTTGGTTGAATGGTTCTGCGGCAATATAGCCGATACCCCATGAAACCAATTTGCCACACTCAACAAAACTAACTCTGGGCCTCTGGATCTTGCCACTCAAGCGCCATTAATAGTTTGAAGAAATCTACAGAAGGTCTGCCCTTCCACCAAGCCCAATCGGGTGCAATGATTTCGGATGACAACACTTCGTATCTCTATATAAAAATTAGCCATAACTAGCGAGTTGATTTCATAAACTCTGCTGCAAAAAGAATTAATGACATAAGATGCAAAGCTGAGATCTCACATTGGTGCAGAAGAAGCAAAGTTATTGAAGTACTCAGCATTACATCAGCTCCTGGAAAGATAGAGGAGCTGCGCCTCAGTTATCACTACTTTTTGGACGCACCTCGTGCTTTCAGAGCATCGTATTTCTATGCGGGATTCACATCAGGGGTCCTGGACGCCGAAGCTTGGCCACAGTTGCTTGTGACGCGCGTAGCGCAATTGATGCCGAAAAAGATCCGACAGGGGAAGGAGGGTGCTTTCGTTCCAGACGGAAAACGGGATGGAAACGATGAAGATGTTGCAGTCGCTCCAAGAGAGAAGAGGCGGCTTTCTGTCCAGCTGGTGTTGCTTTAGTTCGTAGCACATCAATTCATTCGGCTAAAGGCATGTACTGCCGTCCGCAGTAAAACTCTATTGAACCAATATTTGCTGAGGTTGCACTATTAGGAATATACTGGAGGAAAGGGTGCACCCATGGCAATCCCATTAACCTTTACACGCCGAACGTTCATGTAAGTCGAAAACGCGAATGTTGCCATATTCGAACAGCATGGAATCTTCCTTTTATTGGTGTGGAAAGAAAGATTCGCCACATTCTGCACTGATTTCATTTTCCTTCCATTTTCTATCCCATTCATGGCGTTTAGTTTAAATCACATCGGATGAACTTCGTCTACAAATGAAATAAGTAGGTCTTATTTCATTTTGTTTTCATACACCGTTGAGAAATATCTGCATGACCCATGTCATAGTCCACTGCACGCCACTGTTCAAACCCGAATCCCTTAATGCCGGGCGTGAGACGAGAGTGTGTATCCAGTCTCCTTCGCACTGGAGGGAAAGAGAGTGAGTGTGAGCCAAAGCGTACGAGGAGCAGCGCGTCGCATCTCTTGCCCTTCCATCATTTACCTGAGCAGTTGGCCGCAGAGGAAGGGGAAGTAAGGAGCACATTTAGTAATTATTATTATTATTTTAGATTTCTAGCCGAGAAATCATGCAATATTATGCTGTCCGTCATGAGAAGCCCATGATTTTTTTTACTCGGCTGGTGAAAAGGCTGTCGCCTCAGAGAACAAGCTGTAGACAGCTTGTTTAACAAACAAGCTGTCAAAAAAAAAAACAGCATGTTTGTTTTGTAAAGGGGCTTTGAATGAGACAGCACCGTCTCACTTCATGGTTCTAGAGATGAATACCCTCTAATATCTTCTCTGGAAGATTTCCTGAGGTTGACGCGGGCGTAGACGAGGCATGACCGAATTCTCTCGATGGAAAATTCGGTCATGTCTTGTCTAGCTCTTTTCCTGCTTTCTCTTTTGTTTCTTCTTTCCCTCTGGGCCGAAAGAAGCCCAGTCGCTTCCCCCCCCCCCCACTTTTTTTTGTTGTTGTCTGGCATGCGATTTATTTGGGCATTCCGCCCGTTTCCGCATGCTCATCACAGCCATCCATATTCCAGGAATTGCTCCCCATCTTCCCATTGGAGGCCACCTTCGCCGTCTCGGCAGGTGTTACCCTCACGACGACCGTAAGGAGTTATAAGTGCCTTGGCAAGGAGCCTAAAGAGAAAAATGACAATGAAGCCGACCAAGACTGGAATCCGACGACGCCGTTCCCGCCAGGTTGACGTCGTCCCATGCGAAATATTGCCAAAAATGACGACATGAATTAGGTCGACTTCCACTGGCAAATTGCCTGCATCGAGAGGAAAGTCGTTATAGCGTGAATGTAAAATCACCTTCGCTATTCGCGAAGGTCAACTATATATTTGCGACACGTTATTACATGTACGGGAAAACCCACAAACCCACAATGCTATTTTTAAAAAAAGTGTATTGTTTCATTATCAGATCATTTTAAATAGGATGTTTTGTGGGAATTTTCTCAACTGAATGAATCTCGCTCCCACTGAAGCCCATTAATGAGATTAGCATGAAGTTAAGCCCGCACGGTGCTTATCACCTTGTATCTTCTCATTTCTTTTACGTTCCTCGTTCTCGACAAAGCAAGGTCATACTCGACTCAGTGCTCTTAATATCGCCCATGGTCGACGAATCGCACGATAACCTCGCGTAAGTGGATAAAAGTTGAAGATGGGCGAGCCGTCCATTTTAGCTGTCCAATGCCATGCGCCGCTGCGGAGGAGGTGCTGGAGGAGCCTTTAAAAAGAACATCAACGCTGTTGGGGTCATTTGTGGAGGATCTCTGTAGCGCCTCGTCACCTTATCCGGTTCCCGCTCTGCTTATATAAGTCCATCGTGAGTCTCGTCTTATCTACCCTATGCTTATCGCGTATCACTGTCGTAGCCACGCAGTCCCGACTGACCACTTCGTTGAAGTGTAGCTTGAATGACGGGCGATGGTCAGCTGGCGTCGAGATGGATTTTACGCTCGATCGCATCCAAGAGATTTTTTTTTCAATGATGTAATCAAGTTAAGTTGGGTCGAGCATCAGGACAACTTTTCCATCGAATTATATATTTTTTGTAACTTCGCCGAGAATGCATGATAATCTCCTGAATTACGCTCCGAAATAAGAAAGAAACGAGGAAATTTGGGTGGGTGCTCCTCCATTGAAAACCCATATATGAAAGCGAACGGCGACTTAAAATGAACAATGAACGGGGAAAAATGAAGCACCTTCAGGTTTTTTCACTGATTTTGAGACACGTATTTGTAAAGCACCACTCGGCGTCTCCCACTTTTCGTAAAAATCAGGTCAAATAAGATTTTTAATTTCCATCTTATAAAAGTTTTTGTGAATGGCTGATTTCAAAACTGCAGTCCAGTCACGGTTCAGTTGTAATTCAGCTCCATTTTAGTTCAGTCGCAGTTCTAGTTGGGATTTTGTTATGTGAGTAATTGCTAAGACCACAGTGGAACTTAAGTCAGACCAAAGTCTGAACTGGAACTAGAACCGAACTGCCGTTTTGAAACCAGCCAACGTCGACCAACTGCGAGTCGTCAAGTCAGTCAGTTGTAGATCCCCGATTTTATTTCGTACCCTCTCGCATTATCCCGGTCGAGTCTCATCTAATGCATCTTCTGCTTGTTCCTTGCAATCATTTTCTCTTCCGGAGGAAAAGTCGATCGTACCCGGAATTAATGTTCTCGAGGGACTCAAATAATTTTCTCGAAGGAGCGAAAGAGTCATGAACCTTGCCCACGCGAATCCAAGAATCAGCTGGGTTTTTTTTTTTTTTTTTGCACGGTTCATGACAGCGTCCATTACCATTCATGACAGCATCCATCATCATCCATCACGAAATTCCACGTAAGCGGGCAGGAAGACAAACTCGTTCCATGAAAGTATCCAAGACGTTAGGCGGAAAAGAGCGAGATAGGAATGGAAACGATGAAATCTTCGTTTTCAGTCTCGTTCCCATATCGTTAATTTCCATTATTTTCCGGACGTCGGTCTGGACATGTGCCCATATGTGAAAGACTAGAAGGTTCACCACAACTTGGAAGTCGATGACCTGCAGTAGCATCGCAATGGCCACGAGTTTGCAGACGCTCGAAAAGGAGATGATAAAATTTAATGGGACCGTGAATCTCTTTTGATTTCCGCTGTAACGAGGCATGGAACCATTTCATCCGTCATGCGAACGAGGCAAGCATTCTTGCGGCAGCGTTCTTATTGCAACTAGGTCATGAATCATTTGCCAAATCCCCAAGAAAGTGATCGCGTTCCAAGTAACGCCGAGCGGCGCGGGAACGATCGCGCATTTCTCGAAGAAAAAACCCTCGTTCCATCATGTCGCAGAGATCGGCGTTGGCACCGCTTAGAAGTACGCGAAAACGACAGACGAGCATAACGACTCGTGGCACTGCGCACCATGCTTCGTGGCATTCGCCTAATCACGAGTTCAATTGAAACACTCGAGAGCTCCACTCATTCAACGAAATCCTTTTGCATGACGGAGTGCGTCACACATCCGACATCTGTTGATGCCCTTAAGAGAGAGTTCATGGCCACGTACGAGCGAGATGGTTATGAGGCCTGCCCGCTATAATTGCTCACTTTCTTCCTCGAAAACCACCTTTCGATCGCACGTCGTTCTCCACGGCAACGATAGGTGGGAACGAAGAATGAATGGCCGAGAGCTTCATTCCATCTTTCTCGTTGGACTTCAGATTCTACATAGGGTTCAATGCCGTAACATCAACACTCCACGCGGAGATGTTTTGAAAGCTGTGCAATGTGCTCATAGTATTGTATGTCAATCGTTGTATCGTCAACATCCCAAGAGGAAATGTTCGAAGGATGTACTTCTTTCCTCCTTGGAATGTCGCAGACTTCCCTTGGTAACCGCTCGGTTGTTGTATTAATAGATTACAAGATCGATTAGGCATGAAATCGGCGAAGAGATTCTGACACTGATGGCATGCCGTTCCTGACACCCGATGAACGAAAAGACGGTGATGTGAGGGGGTCTCTTGTTTTCGTTTTACGCCTCGACCTTTCCCAAGGAGATGTTGACACTGAAAAACAAGGCTGTTGTTGACATTCTCACTCATTGCCCATATCCTCCCGAGACCGAGCAGGGTTGCAGTAAAGAGTTCTAATTATCTGTATGATGTTTTCCTGAATCTCCATCCGTATTGACGGGGTTGGGCTCATTCGCCTCATATTTATGCATACCATTATCATATAAAAAGGTAAGTGTGTCTCAACGGACTCGGGGAAAAACTTTCAAACTAAGGATCCCGGGAAGATTAGCACTTGATACCCCCCCCTTCGCGCCTCCCAGTGCTAGGTACTTACCCAGTCCACGTCATTCTCTGTGTTAACAGATCCTAGAAGCTGCGTGAAAGCTGATGTATCGGTCTCAGTTCATCTCGCTGCTGTTCGTTTTGGCGTGCTGCCAGCCCGTGTTTCTGTCGACTGCCTATGGGACGCCGGAGGTGAGTCCTCATCGCGTATCAATCGCGGTACCAATTTCCCAGGTTAAAATCACTTCAAGTTGGCTTTTTCCCGTGTGATTCAGCTCGTTTCGACCAGGCGGTTGCATCGCACTCCTCAGCATATCCTCACGCGTCAGAGGAAAAATGGTAAGCCGATCCGTTGATTCTCCTACCTTACGAAGAAGAGCAGATAAGAGGTGAAAATTTGCATTTTTTTCAAGTAGCAGGAGGAACAAGACGAGCCCGAACTATGAACAACCTTCGCATTTCCAAGGCTCCACCTCAGGAAGTGTCTGTCGACAGTGGGACCCCCGTTATTTTGGAATGCGAAGTTTGGGGCTGGCCGATGCCTGACAAAGTCTTCTGGCTTCGCGATGGCGCTAAGGTCGAGGTAAGGTCTTTAGCAATGAGGGGGGGGGGATGGGACATTTCACTTTAGGTTTCAACATTGGCGGTTGACGGCGATTTTTTTTCTTTTTTTCGCCCAGATTGGTGGGCCATCGATGGAGGCAAGGGAAGAGACAAACAGCGTGTTCGATCATGGACCATCGTTTACATCGTACATGACTACGATTAGCAGCCGTCTCTATTTGCCATGCCCGACGCCTGGAGACAGTGGAACTTACTCATGTGTCGCCAAAGGTTCTGGAACCCAAGTGGAGACCAAGACATACGTTGAAGTTTCAGGTAAATATTGGAAGAAGGTTGAATCTCGCGTCCAAATGAAAGTCAATGCAAAAAAATTACTGCTGTAAAAAAAATTATAAAATAAATATATATGTATATATTTCAACGTGGGATCCCAAATGCATAGGGGAGGTGAATCAGGAGACGGTTGAGGCATGTAAGAGCTCCGAGGCGTCTCCCCCTCCTTTGATCGTCCTTTGGAAGGGGATGATAGGTGCCGAGCAAGGATCCGACATCGTCTTGCCGTGTCGAGCACTCGGGGGTTCCGTCGACTGGGCGACGCCCACGCAAACCTCTGTCTCCGACTCGCCAAGGCTTCAGGTATTATTCGTATCATCTTCTTCCATCAAGAGAATCTCATTAAACGAATGATGATGTGAAAACAGAGAAGGCGTTCTGTTTTGAATGCGAGTCAGCGGATCCAAAGCAGGATCCCTCCACCTCCATTTGAGAACTAGTAAACTAAATCATGATTGGTGAGCCTGAAAAAAAATTAAAAGGAGTCTCTCTGAAGGAGTCATCAGATATCAGATGCCTTGATTCGCTATGATTTTGCTCATATATCGTGGACCATGACTAAGAGGAGCACCAACTCCATCCAACTATCATGCATGACTGAATGATTGATGCGCTAGGTGGAGAGCACAGGCGATCTGCATCTCAAGAGCCTTTCTTGGGGGGACATGGGAGAATACACTTGCAGGGTGGAGAATCCCCTTGGGGAAATGGACGAAGTGAATACCTTCGTCTATCCTTTCGGGGTGAGTCCATTGCTCCCGACCTGTTTCGGGTACCCTCGATTGATACCCACTAAGTCACTTAATGACACCTCCCACCGGTCCTAATTAGATTTACCCCGCACCCCAGATTGCCCAGTCTTTCCGGTCTAATTACTTCCGACATCCCTACGTCTTCCGATCCTCGTATGTATAATAGATTTATCCAAAAAGCGAGCTGCTACACTTGTATTTCTTTTCTTTTCCGTTTTTAGCCGAGCGGTGGCCAGTAGACAGCGACCCTTCTACGGCTTCTCTCGACCGCCATCCTCTGGACATCTAGTCACCAACCAGAAAATTTATTGCGACTGTCTGGCTGTCTGTCAAGCTAAAAGTGTTTTCTGTGCTTCCCCCCTCCTCCCTCATCCCCTCCCCTTCTGTTTCAAAGATGTTGTATATCTTCTGCAGCGGTTCGACGAGCATTGCCTGGCTGAAAGACATGAATATATTTGAGGTGAGATGCGGGAGGGAATAAAAGGTGATAGCCGTGGCAGCCGTTTTCCTTTATCTCCTCTTCCGGTTGACAGCACAAACAAGAGCGAGTTCGCTTCTTCTCGAGTTGACTAAATCCTTGATTAGACGCATGTCAACTTTTTTTTTTCAATACGCAATTTACAAGCAAGGAATTTAAAGGCCGGAGCTTTAAAACCACTTGCAAGCCCATTTTAAATCTCAGCCGGAAACGGCTACAGTTTCCATTCAGATCCATTTCAACCTGGGAACAACAGCTGGAAAATTAAGCAATAAATCCAGGATAGTTTCTATTTTGAATTTCCGAGTCGAACACTTTCTTTTCCTGCCGTAGTCCAGCTATGGAAGCAGATGGATTACAGCTGAAAATTGAGTCCCGTCATAATCGGAGGATCCCCAATTTAAAATCCCAGTTTGAATTTTCCTATCGGAAACAAGTAAGGAAGCCACCAGCAAAACTACGAGGAAATTCCACTTGGGAATAAACCTCGAGACAGCATTTTCCAGCTGGGGCCAGTTGGAAATTATAGCTGGGATTTTAATCAGTCAAATCGATCGTAATCGCATCTTTTCCAGCTCAGACAGGCGAAAACGAGATCATTATAATATGATATAACATAATCACGAGGAGACATTTGAAAGTGAAGGCTCCGTTGAATTCAAATGGGATTAAATTTCTACGAATTAATCAATCACGAATACCTCATTCGAGTTCTCTCGAGCTCTTTATTCGATTAGGTAGATGAATTCTTCGATGAAGCGTAGGTGCTACGATTCCTTGAGAGCCGAACCTTGAAAGATCGAATTACAGCATATTCTCGGCCTTCGCGTCACTTAGCGATGCGATGAACCAGGACTCGGGCCGCTCTGGCGCAGTTACGGGCAAGGACGAGAATTCGGACGCACTTCCCTCGTTGGAGACCTCGGAGTGGGAAGTCCCTCGTGGGGACTCCAATAATGATGGGTTTGCCGAGGCCTATTTCCGAGAGGAGAAAATCTTGCGTGGGGTTCTGATGGGCGACAGAGTGCGACACGGACGGATGTGCCTCATTAGCTCTAAGGGAAAGGAAATGAAGTGATCGTTTGGGATCTCGGGGGAAATAACTTCCGGACGGAGGAGAGATTTCACGTTTTCTCGCAGATAGAAGGATCTGGTCATGGAACTTGACGAATCGCGAGCGAAATCTCCCCTTTCGATATCCGGCGTATACCAGGTCCTTTGTCCCGTCTCACTCTGGATTCCCACGACGAAACGCAGGGTAACCAACGAATTTTCGGTATAAGTTCAGTACTATTCGGCGTTATCGGCTGCATTTGGGGTCCTATGTTCGGGTCTGGTGATCGGCTATGCCGCCACGGCATTGCCTTCCATGGAGGCCCCGGGGAACGAAATTCCCATCGGAGTCTTTCAGGCGTCCTGGATAGGTGAGTCGAGCGGCAATGATTATTTATTGTGATCGGGATAAAAGCGTGGGTCGACTACGATCTGGGATCTAGGGGGTTCCCCAGATATAAATCGGTGAATCCCCCGCAACGTCTGCCGCGGAGCCCCCGGAACTTCTCCACGTCTTCGCCGACTCGCCCCCGAAGCGACGCGATGGTCTTTCCGGACAGAGGATCCGCGATTTCCAAGCTTCTCCGGATGAAAGCGTGGCAGTCGAGGACGGCCGGACCGGTGCAAGTCTCCTTCATGCTCTCCGTGATGGCAAAGAGATCGTTGGAGCCCAGGATCTTCTCTTCGCCCAGTTTCACCAGAGCGATGCCGACTCGAAAGAGGACCTTGCTCCCCTCGTAGAACAGACAATCCCATATCCTGAGAACGGTCTCCACGGGCAAGACGTCGGCGTACAAGCAGACGTGCCATCTGGTTACCAACAGGTTCCAGGCGATCCCTTGCTTCTTGAAGTGAGCGTGAACCCGTGGGACTTTGTTTCCGATCAAATAACCCAGGACTTCCATGTCCACCAGAACCCCGAAGAGGTCTGCAGCGTAGTACCTGGACGGTAAGATGTTCTCTCGCAGGGCCTCGAGGAGCCAAAAGGTATCCTCTTCGCATCGAGTGACCAGGAGCAGGAGTCCGGCGACGTAATTAAGTCCCTGGCAGTAGCCGACGTCCGGATGCGCAGATGCGAATGCGCCCAGGACGTTGAACAGCGGTAGTCGCAGGCCGTCCGGCGAAGAGCCGAAGTAAACGTTGTGCGTGAAGGTCCGCGACAGGTCGACCTTGATGGCGTGAACCACCTCTTTGGACAGGGACGAGGCCAAGAGAGCCTTGTAGCGGCCTCGGTGGCTCTCCTTCAAACGTTGGGCCCCGCTCACGTCCATCCAGACCAGCCGACGGTAGACCTGGGGAATCCCCTTCCGGATGTATCTCTTCGTGAGGTCGTTCTTGCTCAGCGGCAGCTGCTGCTTCTGCAGCAGGGCGTCCCATTTCTTCCGTCGATTCACCAGGATCGGTAGATACCTCTTCACGTAGTCGGCGTGTTCCTTGTCGTCGAAGTCCGGTTCTTTGAGGAAGCCGTAGCCGTCTACCTGCTTGGTAGCGCCCGACCGGATCTGGACAATTTTGGGGGCTGCCATTTTTCAGCCCATTTCGGAGTCGAAGAGCCACTATTCATAAATTTAGAGCGAAAACACTGGCGGTCGCTAAGGAACGAGAGGAGCGCGTGACGGTCCTTGTTTCCTCATCCATAGGGAGTCTGCAATTCCTGGGAGCAGCGATCGGGAACTTTTCATCCGGCTTGATGGTGACCACCTTGGGAAGGCGGAAGGTCATGATGTACGTCACGTATCCGCTCTACATTTCCTGGTATCTCATCGTCTTTGCGGAAGGCGTCGGTGCCATCTACTTGGGACGATTTCTGACGGGACTCTTTACCGGCATCATCAACCCGGCTGCTGCCATCTACGTGTCCGAGATCAGTCATGCCAAGAAACGGGGGACTCTCGGGGCCCTGGTGAAAGTGAGCGCATTTTAACCCTTCGAGGACCGAGTATTCTGGAACCTTTCGGGAGTATGGACGTACCGGTACGTTCATGGTCCTCAAAGGCTTAAAGAACGCGACCCGACGGCACGGAAGGACTGACGGGGGGATCCCTCGCGTTTCGCCGTCGTCTCCCCCCAGCTGATGATGACGGTGGGGATCCTGGTGAGCTACGTCCTGGGGTCCTCGGTGGAGTGGCTGGGGCTCGCCGCTCTCAGCTCCGTCTTTCCATTGCTCTTCTTCGCCCTCATCTCCTTCGCGCCGGAGTCCCCTCATTTCCTCCTTCTGAGAGGGAGGAGAGAGGAGGGGTACGAGGCCTTGTTCAACCTTAGGAGCGGGGTAAGGATAAGCAACAAAAACATTCCATCTCGGCTTTCTTTCTCTTTTTCATGCCAAAAGAAAAATAACCGCTGCTCTAACGCGGGAGAAGAGACAGAGGCCCTTTCTCTCTCTCTCGTCTCGAGAGACAGGAGCTTTCGATGTCTCCCTTGACATGCGTTTCCTTACAAGCAAAAAACAAAACCCTGTACCTTTGCCAAAACGTGATGGATTTATAATCCATCACGTTTTGGCAAAGGTACAGGGTTTTGTGGCGACGTCGTTCTACGAAATACGTTTCGTGGAAGTCGCAGACCCTTTTTTTGCTAGCCGCGTGTAGCATCGGTCTCCCGCTCTTTTTTTTTGCCGCAGTTCTCCGAAACGGAAATCAGGGAGGAGTTCGAGAGCATCACCGACAACGTTGCCAAGGCCGAGGCACAGAGGACGAATATTTTCGAGGACATGAGGAAGCGGAAGCACGTGCAACCCATGCTGATCATCGTCGGTCTCACGTTCTTCGCGAAGTTCTCCGGCTCCCCGGCCGTCATCACGTACACCGTGAAGATCTTCCAGGAGGCGAACGGGTCCCTCGACGAGCACGTGGCGACGGTCCTGGTGGGCCTGGTCCAGGTGTTGGTCCACGGCGTGGCCGCCGGACTCATGGACGTTGCCGGCCGCAAGTCCCTGCTCCTCGTCTCCTCAAGCGGGATGGCCCTCGCCATGTTCCTCATGGGGATCCACCTCTGGGCCAAGAACGACCTCCACGTCCAGTACTTGGCCCATGCGGGATGGATCCCCGCCATGTGCATGATGAGCTACATCCTCTTTTACTCGCTGGGGTTCGGTCCCATCGTTTTTCTCATGATCGGGGAGTTGTTCCCCATCCGGATCCGGAGCGTCGCCGGCGGGATCGCCGTGAGCCTGGACACCATCTTCGCCTTCCTCGTCGTCTTCTCCTTCTTGCACGTCAAGGAACTCGTGAATCTGCACACCGTATTTTACCTCTACGGCCTCGTGGCTTTCTTCGGATTCATTTTCTCGGCCACGTACGTTCCGGAGACGAAGGGAAAGACCCTGGAGGAAATCGAACGCCAATTCAGCGCCGAAAATAAGGGACGTAACGACTCCTAACGACTCCATGGAGGAACGTAACGATTCCTGACGTCGATCTTCGGATCAGATAAAAAAACACGCATGTTATTCATCATTTCAAGCCTTTTTGACTTCACGACTTTTATAGTTCTTAAAGGTCTATCTGATTCCCGACAGCAACGCGCCTGGCTTCTTCTGACTCGAGACGGAGAAATTACGACGGGGAAAAAGTGAAACCGGAAAGTCTCTGTCATAGGCGAGTTAAGTATGCTATCGCAAACATGCAGTGTGGCACGAAAAGGGTGGACTATCGGCCCCATGCGAAGCTGCAGTCAGGCGAGGCAGACGCATTCGATCGCGAGACTGCTGTCGCAAAGGTGGCGATACCTTTATGGAGTGCGCCAGACAAGAGATGCTCGGAGTCGTTCCTTTTTAGGTTGCAAACAATTTTCTGGGCAGTGAAACTCACCGCAGAACGAAGGGAGCAGACGGCGAGAACTGCATGCAGGAACGAAGTATGCGCGAATGCACAGACAAGTTCAAACGGAGAATTCGCAAAAGAGAATTTTGGGAATCGTTCACATGCTGGGTCCTTCGAACTCCGAGGCGTTTCTCACCAACGTTTCAACTTCGCCGTGCATCTGAGGTGAATTACACCACCGTGAAGATTTTCTGAGACCAAAAAAGGAATTACTCCGTCCTTGTCTGATACGCTCCATAAGGGCATAGCCATCTTTGCGTCAGGGGAATACCCCTGACGCAACAGATCTGTCACGTCTGATCGTCGCGTGGCACAGAGCCGATGGCTCACCGTCTTCGTGCCGCGTAGCGGAGTTGCGATTCCAAGTGCTCGCCTGCCGTCGAGACTTTCCGGTTTCTGTTTTTACAGGGTGACCCACTTCAAAAGTTTACCGATGAATGGCCATGTAAAACACAAACCAATGGAAGGAGGAAGCTGAAACTTGGCATGTAAACTACTGGCAGCATGGGCTTCTCAAATCCGTGAAGAAAATAGTGGCAGTAGATTGCACCACCAGCGTACGATTTACATGTAACGTGACCCGCGAACGGTACAAAAGATGTGTGACCATGGACTGTGAAGAGTCAACGTGTTAGTGTTCGCTACGAGGATCGAATTGATAGAGAAGTTTTATGAAAATGGGAGGAATGGGGCCTTGAGGTTTCACCTTTGGAACCGCAACATGCATCAAGGTCCATGCTCACGAACAGCACTGGAAACAGGGCCGTAAATACCCCATGTGGCGCCCCGGGGCAGGGAGTCATGGACGCACCCCCCTCCCCTCCCCCCTCCCCCTCCTCTCCTCCCTCCCCTCCTCCCTCCCCCCTCCCCTCCTCCCTCCCCCCTCCCTGGCATTTTCCCTGACTTGTACCTGCCAGTTCTCCAAGAACTAGTACCTGCGTATCCACGTCTAAGTTTGCACGCCCTCCCTTTAAGTGAATGGCAAAGCCAAGTTGGCCTTTTTTAAATTCAAGCATACGGAATAGTCATGAGCTCTTGAGTATCCCAAGAGCATTCATTGACACGCTCGCGAGTCGCCCTCTATAATTGGGGTTAAGGAAAAAGCTACCTGGAAAAAAGACCCCCAGAATTGACAAAAGCTGAAAAGATGAAAAGCTGAAAAAGCTGAAATGTTGAAAAAAGCCACCCGAGATGAAAATGCATAAAAGCCACCCGGGTGGTTGCTTCGTAATGAATCATTTCTCTATATTTATACATATCAGGTAATTAAAAGACATTCATTTGGCGATGTTGAGACACATTCACGCAGGGATGTGGCTCATAATTATCCATGTTTTTAATATTTTAGGGTGAATTTCCATCAATTATTCAAGTAAAATATCACTGATTTTTCGTTTCCATTCAGAATAAAACGGTGGAAGATGCAAAGCATCGCTCGATTGGAGGCACTTCTTTAAATATATAAAAATTTGTATTTTTCTACTTTCATTATGAAGGGAAGAAGGACTCTGTTCAGCTATGAACATTAACTAATCTCAATGCAATGCTTGTGAACAGACTTCGGGGGGGGGGGGGGGGGGGGTATAA